GGATCAGGTCGTAGCGCTTCGATGGGTCCAAAGGAACATAGCCGCTTTTGGCGGCAATCCCAACAGCGTCACTATATCTGGCTACAGCGTCGGTGGATTGAGCGTGTATTTGCACATGGTCTCGCCGATGTCCAAGGGACTGTTCCATCGGGCGATCATAATGAGTGGCTCGACAATGATAGAACCGTTCCCGACCGATCAGTTACACTTGGCGAAAAAGCAAGCCGAATTATTAGACTGCCCGACCAACACCACTGAATCTATGCTGACTTGCTTGAATTCTAAGCCAGTGGAAAACTTCACAGATACCATACCCCAGTTTTTTGTAAGGATGATTACATATATGATGAGATTAATAAAGGAATTAATAAATAAGATTAAATAATTTTTCTGTCAAACCAGAAAATTAGATAGAAAATTAGAAAAATAATATATCATAAAAAAAAACTTGTCGAAGGACTAAAAAACGTAAAAATTTGTGTTATTTTTATACAATTATAAAACGTAATTTTTATTACATTCACGTTCTAGGAGTGGTACAATGACCTAATCTTAGTGTGGACACCCGTAGTGGAACCTGAGATTCACGGTGTAGAAAGATTTTTGCCAGAACAGCCCAGTGAGCTTATTAGAAAAGGGAAGTTTCACAAGGTACCGCTGATCGCAGGAATTACTGAAAACGAGTTCGACGGTGTCATCGTCTGTAAGAATTTTGTATCTTCTTGTAATTTCCATTTAATTTCAAAATTATAAATGATGTCTGAAATCCTTTATTTTTAATTTTTGAAATCAAATGAAAATTAATTTTTGTTGGTTTCCTTAGTTGTCATTGAGCAACACGGACTCGGTAATGATTCAATGGTGAACGACTTGAACAATGATTGGTACAGATTCGCACCAATTAATTTCATGTACGAACGGAATACATCACGATCCAGGCACATAAGTACCGAACTACGCCAATTTTACTTTGGTGACAAACCGATCGGTCCAGAAACTTACGACGGTCTCGCACACATATGTAAAGTGTTGTATAAGATATTATGATCGAAA